ATACTCAGTTATGTCGACACAAGCTATAAGTAGGACCCAAGGTTTCATCTTGCCAGCGCTGTGTGTTAAATTTATTTCATTCCTGTTTTTTTTTGTAAACTGAAAACGTTTAACTCTAGCTAGTTTTTTTAGGATAAAAGTTGTTAAATAAAGCTCTTTTATTGTTAACATTTTTGTTATTATTACCCTTTATGGATTATGGTCAAATATCGTACCTCGGACGTCTGATTTACGTCCCTAGGACGTCCCGCAAAGGTCCCTATGATGTCCTTTTGGGATGTCCCTAGGATGGACGGAAACGGGACATTAGGACGTCCATGGGACGTCCGATTGACGTACCGGTACCAAAATAGGACGTCCTTCGGACGTCCTTTATGTCCCTGAAGGACGTCTTTTAGACGTCCATAAGACGTCCGTGTGCTATGTGGGATATTGTCGAAATACACTATTACAAATCAGAAAACTGTATAGCAATTATTTTAGTTAAGAATAGTATTATCCCTTTAAAAATATTTATAAAAAAATAAAGCAACTACATTTGGTAGTACCTACGCCATATTATTTTTGTATTTTATGTTTGTTCAACTACTTCCCATACCAATTGTATGTGAGTGTATGGTCTGAAAATGTCAGATTTAAATAGTGAAGAAATATAAAAAATAAGTGGTACCTGCTTTTCAGAGAACAGTAAAAAATATTAGTAAAACATTTTGATGGTTTGTCTAGACACTCAAAAAAAAAAACTATCATTTAGCCAGATAATAATTAGGTATGTTCTGAATAATCATGCCCCAATACTAAAAGAAAGCCATATTTTTGGCGATGTCCATGTTAAATTTGCTTATTCTCGTAATATTAAAAATTATGCTTGCTCTATAAAGCTGTAGAAACAAATCTAATCATTTCAATTCCCAAATACTTAAATCAGAAACGATTTAGTAAGGTTATGTTATATTTTGTCATAAAGTGCAGCAATATGAAACTATTATACAACAAACCATGATGAACTTGTTTTGTAGAAATGAGTAATACAACTTAATTATTGTATTACAGCTTTTTTTACTACAATAATATTTTATAATTATGATTCAGTCTTAAAATAACTTTCTAATACCTCTGAATAGCCGCCATATTTAACACAAACCTAAGACAGTTTTAAAGCTAAATCTACTGGCGGTTTTACTAGTATTTAAGACAAAATGAATGTTAATTAAAGATTTTAATCATTAGTAATATTAGCATAATCTTATTACTAAAAAAAAATCAAATTGCATAAATTTAATTTTTGTTTCACACTGAAAAAGTATTAGAAATATGAATCAAACTCGAGGCGCTTAAAAATTTAGTATTGTATGTGCTATATAATTAACAGTAATTCTTGCTGCGCATCCAAAAACGACTTTATTGTAGGTCATACATTATGTCTAAACCGCGTTATAGATATCTCCTAAGTAGATACTGCCATTTTACTAATATCGCCTTGAATTTACTTTTATGACAAATATAAAATTAATTTGTTTTCACCAGATACATTTAAAAAACTAAAATGTTACTGATTTTGATATGTAACCTAACCTCAAAATTGAAAATTTATAAAACAGTTATAAAAGTTTAAAAAAACATTTGTTTAAAGTTTGTGTAAATGTGTGGTAACTGTTCAGTAACTGCATTCAACAAATCTTATAGAATTTACAAATAGTTCTGTAATACTGCGCCCATTTTGTGTTTATTACTGTTGAAAGAATGTTCCGGAAATGTTCTTAGCTAATATTCTATTTTATAAATTTTGTTCTGTAAACATTTTTTCAGCTTTTATAAAATATCAAATTGTTACTTGGGATAGTTAGGTAACTTAAACACATTTATAGGTGAAAGCATTACATTTCAAATCACGTATACAGTAAGTAAAGATTAACAAACCAAACTTCCAAAACTTCAACTTCTGAAGTAAGACAAATTGAAGTATTAAACGGTTAAGAAGCTGAAAACTTTTTGTTTTTAAATCAAAGGTTGTTTCGAATCGAACATTAAATTTTTGGGAAAAAACAAAACTTTTTGTTATCATATCATATCGGGTATTCATAAAAGAGTAGAAATATAATACGTCTTCGAATAAATTTACAAAATATTAAACTAGGTTAACTCTGATGAATAATGTGAGGAGTTTAAAAGATATATATGCGAGTTTAATAGATACTATGAGTGAAAAATAAAGCGGAAAATCAAGCTTAAAACATTAAAAAGTATCAGAATGGATATAAAATGTATAAAAAATATTAATTTAAAAAATAATTACTTAGAAAATCATGATAATAAATAAGGTGAAAACAGTAATATAAACGAAATAAAAAATTTAAAAGGACATAAACTATAAAAAAACAACTGATGAGTATCGTATAAGCATTGTATCACAGAAGGAAAACATAGACTTAGCAAAACTAGCAAAATATCAACTAAATGCTATATAAATGACATTATACTATGAAAAAATTAAATCATTAAAGAAGCAAACTAAATATATACAATAATTCCGGAAAACATTTGCAGGATAATAAAGAGTTATTCAGAAGGAACTTGAGAGCAAGTTATGGGTAGTTGGCTGTATCATACAAAAAAAGACAAAACGATATATATGTATATCGTTAGAATGGGAAAATTTTTGTCTTTTTGTATGCCACAGCCAACTACCCGATCCATATAAAAAAATACAACTTTATGCTATAACTCGAAATTGAAGAATTTTAAAAAAAAATTGAATGCGCCGCTGGATTCTTTATTAAAAAGTGCCTGAAGAAGGTATAAATTATTTTCTTCCACTTTCATAAATAAACGAGATAATGCCACAATGAAAATTTAAAAAACCAACTTTTGTTTAGAACTCGAAAACAAAAGACAATAGCCAATTTTTGAAAATGCCATTAAGTTCTTCTAAAAAAAAAAGAGACCAAGGATGGGAGGTCCATTTTTCCATACCATTTATAGTTAACGAGATTCTCTATTAAAACATCGAAATTTTCCCACCCTATACAGAGATATAAAAAAAATATTTTCACAGAACGGTAGACAGCATTAAACTATATATTTTAAAATTATTTTTGAATAACTTCCCTCTGGAACCAACTTATGTTCTTTTTAATGGATCAACCTGTATTTTATTTTATATTTGAATTGCCTTCGCTTTTCCCTTTCTAAAAATATAAATTATTATTGGTTTATACAGGGTATTTTGCAGGATATAATCAGTTTTGTATGAAAATCGTATTGAATTAAATGAACTATGTATATCATGCAAAAAAAAACAATTGATAACCATTTTTTTTCTACCACAATTTTTCAATCATAGTCAGATTTCATCCGGAGACACTACTTTTTTCATATCGCATCAAATCTGTACAGGGCGAGTCAAAACACAAATTCATAATTTTGTCAATTTTTTTAAATGGATCACCCTATATTTTATATCATCGTTCAAAAGTATCCTATCTATACTTTGACTTAAGAATTCCCTGTACCAAAAGTTAATAGTAATTAGTAATTTATTATCGATTTTAACATTAAGAAATGCCTCTCTTACTCGTATTTTCATATAATCTACTGTAGTTGGAGGTATTTTATGACACTAGAGCTTTAACGTAGCCCCAGAAAAAAAGTCCATTTTAGTTAAATCTTCCTGGAAATTGAACTGCAAGTTCGCCATTTATAAGAGCGTTATTGTGAGCAGGAGCACCATAATGTAAATACCACATTTTTCGGCGTACTTCAAGAGGAAGATCTTCAAGCAATATTGGTAAAGAATTCACTAGAAAGTCTAAGTACAATTCCCCATTTACAGGTTTGTTAAAAAAATGAGGTCCTATCAAGTACTCACCGATAATGCCACCCCAAATATTTAAAGACCGCCTTTCCTGACTATGAGTAATTATATGGTATGGATTAGAAGTGGAATAATAATGAAAGTTGTGCCTATTGACACAGCCATTTCGATGAAAAGTTGCCTTATCTCCAAAAAGCACATACTCAAAAAAATCTCTTCGTTCAATAATTTGTTGTTGTGACCATTCACAAAACGTTACTGTGTGTTCAAAATCCATGTAATGAAAATTTGAAAAAAAAAACGAACTTTTGTTTGTTAACTCGAAAACAAAAGACAATATCCAATTTTTGAAAATGTCATTAAGTTTTTCTCAAAAAACGAGATCGAGTGTGGAAGATTCTCTATTAAAACATCGACATTTGCCCACTCTGTACATTCGTGTACTTTTCCTAATGCACCTCACCAACTTTCTAAAAATAATAATTCAATTATATTTTAAAAATAAGAACTAACTGAAATCAATTATTTAAATTGTATATTTTATAAATAAAAATAATAAACTTATTAGTAATAAGAATCGTGAAATATTTTGCTACAAAGATAAGAAAGTTGAAAATATTTATTTCAAAGTAATTTATAATTAATTCTACATAAAACTAAAAATGACATCATAAATCGAAGAAAACAAGAAAATAAACACAAATTATAGTGAATTTTATTAGTTGTTGCATAACATTTATTTGGAAAATTTAATTTATTTCATGTTTAATTATCTTTAATTTTTTGAACTGTCTGTTTTTCTCTCATTTTCACTTGATTCTTCTGAATTTATGTTTTCTTATTTTCTTTTATTTTTAAAGTAAAAACGGATTAAGATGGGCCTTTCCGTAGTACCTTCGGCCCGCTTATTTTAATTAAGACGTTTGATGTGACATAATACATTTATAATCTGGACTCGAGAAGACAATCTGCCGTTTACGGATTAGGATGCACACTTAAGAGCTTAGAAATATCGAAAAGTATAACGTTAATATTTACCCGAGGTTGATAATAATAATTCTAGAGAGTACGCCAAAAAAATTGCTTGTTTTATAGATTTTTTAATTATATACGTCGATACCACAAAAAATATGCAAAAATTCAAGAATGCTGTAGAATTTTTGGATAATTATTTATTAAAATTTACCTCGGCCTCTTTTTCCTCATCTTTGCCCATATGCTGGTAAACATTCCTGTGGTTTAATAACTGGGCGCAAGCCGGCTCTGCTAGAACTGATGAGCTTGACGAAGCTGATTCTGCTTTTTCTTCATCTGAAGTTCCATCAGCTGCAAACATATAAAATAAATTCTTATTTAAGTTAAGATGTGCCCCAAAATTTAGTTGAAAGTTGAAAAATAGGTAACGATTGTTCCACATAAAATTGAGATTTGTAATTGTAATAGTTAGTTTACAGAGAAAAATATAGATTGGTTTATTTATACTTAAGAAAAATATAGATATATATTATTTACTAAAAATCTATGTTAATTTTTCATTATAAATACATGTATTTATTTGATTTTTCAAGTTCCTGTGGTTCAAAGTATCTAAAATTGTTCTTACGCAATATATATTTATGTTCATATCATTAATAGTTCCGATTATTAAATTAAATACAAAATTTTGACTTATCATCGACAATACCAAACTATTTTTTTATTCTACGAATTATTGGGCAACTAATTACAATAAGTTTGATGACATCTAAGTGTTTTTAAAAAGTTGTTGACAATATACAAATGTCGCACTGAAAAAATTAGATCACTAGAAATGTTTTCCAAAAATATTAAAATAATGATAACTAATAAAAACAACCTAAAATCAAAGTTAACCGTAGAAAAAATAAAGTTTTTTCTTCCGTGTTTAATCTAATTTTTTGTTTTTGTTTCATGCCCTTATCCTTGCTTATTTGTAGCAGTTTGCAAGCTTCAACTGTCAAAACCTTAGAAGAATAAAGTATGTATTGTCCTATTTGTATCTATATACAGGGTCAACCACTAAAAAATTTTTCTGTACGCTTTGCATAAGTCGATGTAAAAACTGCAAAGAGTTAGCATTAGGGCGAGCAGGAAATGAATAATATCAGCGTTGCCAGTTTATATGGCCCAATCACGTTGTAATGTTGCTCGCTCTATAGCTAACTCTCTGTCGTATTTAGATGAACTTGGGCAAAGCATATTGGAAATCGTTCGATAGCCGATAATGTATATGGGCTAAATTATTTGATACCAGTGGCGGGTCTAAGAGATTGCTTTAGGGGGTAAATGGGTTCAGAAAATTTACATTATACTAAACTAGAAATCAGTCCTACATAAATATATTTTATTAATTAAAAGACAACCGGTTTGAGCCTTAAGCTATCATCAGGTCTAAATAAAAAGAACTAGTATTAGCAAATATTTTAGAAAAATTGTAAAAATGTTTTACTTTTAAACTAAGTTGTTCGTTCTTCGAACGAAATTATAAATATAAAGGGTAATTCACGCGAGTCTAGCACTTTTTATTACTCATTTTATATTTTTAAAAGCTTCAACCAACTATAATATTTATGGTCTATATGAATAATACAAGGTGAAATTCTGAAAATAATAAAAATATTATTAATTAGTTAAGCACAGATTTATCTAGAATAAGTATCAACTAAAATTCAATATGGACGCAATAAAATGATCAATTTTATATCAAACCTTTGACATGGTGGAGTTTGTTTGCCAATTCGAGACCGATCGAGAAGTTCGGTGCTGGTTCTGGCATAGGATGGACCAAAGCATTTGTCGGCGGCGAAGGAGTGATCAATGGACATATCGATGCTACTTCGTCAGCCAGAAACGAATTGGTAGGAGACTCTGGCAAGTTAGCACTGTTTACTCTTAGAAAACCGTCCATGGTTTTCACATTTCTTGTAAATCTAAAAAATAGTAACATAAATTCATATTCTTTATTGTTTCTTTTGATATAAATTGTTAAAGAACGAATAATCAAGTAACTAAAGTCCTCATCTGCAGTGGGATTCTCATCTTTCAATACGGCACGTGTTGAGACGCCTATCTTCGTTCGACAGAATGCGATTCTCATGTAATGTCTCTCTCTATTCGATAGGTATATGTGTCGAATTCGCACATAAGAATCCCTGTCCGATTACGAAAAGTATCACATCGCTTTTTTTGTAGTTGGGTGCAAGGGAGTGGGGTTAACATGTTGTGCTATGTGCGGACAGTGAGAGCGGTCATGTGACTTGTTGAAACTTTACTCTGAATTTTGCAGGTCACATGACAGCTCCTACGGTCTGGACATAGTACATATTGTCTCCCTTGCAGCTAACTACAAAAAGTGGGTTAAAAAAGTAAGAAGTTGTTATCTCAAATGAAAACGAGTTTTTGAATTATGTTTGATGTTTAGAAATTTCAAAAGAATTACATTTTATCGTTTTTCTTTGTTTTTTGATTGCTTAGATTTTTATTTTTATTATCGGCTTATAACAGAGGGAAGAATTTTTTTGGAATGAAATATTTTGAGAGATTGGTGTTATTATTATAAAATGGAAAAATAAAAACTGTAAAAGTATCAACTCTATGAATTATTTTAATCTAAAATATAAATTAAAAGGACTCGTCAAGGATCTGAAATCATTGAGAAAAAAATAACAGAACTAAGCAAGTAGGTGAAGAGGAAAAAAGAAGAAATAATTGGAAAAATGTTAAACATTTTTGTGTTATTTTGAGTAATTTTATTTCCAAAAAAAACATCGATTTTTCTTTGGTTTCTGTAAAAAATAAACCAAAGCTTCATTTTTTAAATGTTTGTTGTTAACGTCATGAAATTATATCTACCTTTTAAAATCAAAACAATGCCGTAATATATATAGGGTGATTCATAACTATTGGAACATAGGCTAAGGGCAGGTTATTTGGACAAAAATATGGCGGTAGGACCAAATATATCTTAACAAATAAGATACAAGGCATTAAATAAAAATAAATAATAATAATTATAAACTATAATCTCACAGCAAATTAATTTACTAACAAGAAATGACATATGTACCAGACAAATTTATCTGACACTACAAAGAACACTTTTTAAAATTAAATATTATTTTTTAAATCCATATCTAAGACTGTTTAATTGTGTTTTTATCGAAAACCGGTGAAATTATCGTGTTTAAACAAAAGTACCAATATTACGTAGAAATGATGATTATATCATATTTTCTAATCAAAAACACTAAAAAATTTCGTCTAAAAAAGTTACCATTTAATTTCATCATCAGCAATCATTCACATTGGCGTCCCCTGTAACAAAATGTAAAATAATACATAAAATAATATTCCTTGTCCAAAGATATGCCTATGTGCCGATTTTAATAACAATTCATAAATATACATTAACATTATCAGAAAAAAACAAAAAAAAATCAACTTTAACGCTCTTTATCTTACTCAACAGCAATATTTGATAAAGGTCCTATCTCCATATTATGGTCCAAATAACCTGCCCTTATCCTATGCCCCAATAGTTATGAATCACCCTGTATAATGGATTTCTTGATCAGCTTATTAATTTTCCATAAAAAAATTAAAAATTATAGGGATATAAGATGTTTCAAAATTTTATATTCATGCGGTTTTATACAGGGTGTCTCAAACATATCATTAAAAAAATATTTTCGAAAGAAAGTGTTTTGGATCACTTGGAAATCCATAATGAACCATCAAACTCATGTAAATGGTATACAGAGAAAATAAAAAATAATGCATTATAACAAATACAGTAAAATTTAAAATAAAAATAGTGATAGGAATTAAAAAATATGCTATATTTTATATATCAATGCATTTGTTTTTAATTTGGGTCTTATATTATGGTGTTATTTTAAAAAGGTAGGTACTTCCTCACTATAAAAATGAATCTCAATTTCTTTATAGCGACAATGGCAATTACCACGTGATTATGCGGTCTTATCTTTTAAGAGTTGATTATATTCTGCATAATTAATTTTGAAGTTATTTTCGTGTACTAAAATATTTATTTAAAAACATTCTTATTGCCGAAGAAAAAAAATTCCTTTACAAAAAATTTCATTCTATCAAACTTATTTGTTTGAAATTTTTCAATATTTTTTAAAGCAAACAACGATTTTAATTTAAAAAATACAAACTGCAAAAATCAGAGAAGCTTCCGAAAATTCCACAAAAAAATCTAATTGTCATAATATTAAACATAAACAGCGGCAACGTTGCGGTGAGCGATCTGCCGCTGACGCCATCAAGCTAGAACCGACCAGCCGGACCAGCGCGTTAGTGTTCGAGAACGATCAGGATTGCTTTGAACGGGATAAATACGCATGGCGCGGCGACATTGCGCTTAGTTTAAAACTGAACGCGTAACCAATGTTCAGCGGTTGGGTTAGTAGAGAACAACAAAAAATAATATTATTGCAAGCAGTTGTAAGAAGGCAAAGACATCCACTTTCATTCGGAATGGAAAGAACAATACTTTTTACAGAAGTTAAAGATAAAAATGTGTGTTTGTTATGTAATACTTCGGTCTCCGTTGCTAAAAAAGGAAATATTGAGAGACATCATAAAACTGTACATTCTAATTTTGAAAAATCATTCCCACTACATTCTGCCGTCAGAAAGGAGAAACTGGAACAGTTAAAAAAGCAGTTAATTGGACAACAATCAATATTTTTAAGAACAGTCGACAAAAATAAGGCTGCAACTGAAGCATCGTACCGTGTGTCCCAGATAATTGCACAAAAAAAGAAACCTTATGAAGAGGGGGAAATGATAAAACAGGCGTTTTTAGAAGCTGCTGATTCGTTATTTGCCAACTTTAGAAATAAAGACGATATAGTTTCAGCTATAAAATCTATGCAACTTTCTGCTAATACAGTGATGAGACGTGTAGAAGTAATGAGCAATGATATTTTTTTACAGTTAAGAACTGATTTAGATAACTGTGTTTATATTTTTCACTTCAACTGGATGAATCAGCAGATGTCGTTGACATTGCCCAGATGGCTATGTTCGTCAGGATGGTTTTTAGTGATTTTACGATTAAAGAAGATATTTTGAAGTTTATTCCACTGAAAGGACACACTACTGGACAGGAGTTGTTTTCTCATTTAAAAAATAATATTTCTTCCGAGAAAATTCCAATATCGACAATGGTAGGCTTTACAACCGATGGCGCTCCAGCTATGGTGGGTTGTGATAAGGATCTGGTGGCGTTATGTCGTAAAGATGAAACTTTTCCGCAATTTCTCTGTTACCACTGCAATATCCATCAACAAGCATTATGTGGATATTTCCTGAAACTAAACGTTATGAAACTGGTGGTAAAAATTGTGAACGAGATTAGAGCTCAAGCGTTACAAAGAAGATTATTCAAAACCTTAGCCGATGAAGTTGACTGTCAATACGGGGACCTACTCCTTCACTCTGAAGTCCGATGGTTAAGTAGAGGACGGGTGCTGAAACGTTTTAATGATGTCCTATCTGGCATAGTTCAATTTTTCAAAGAACGCGATGAACCGACTCCGGAACTAGAAAATTCAATCTGGCTTAGATATTTTGGTTTTCTCGTGGACATTACAGAGAAATTAAACGAACTTAATTTGCAGCTTCAGGGGAAAGACAAAGAACTAGCGGAAATGATTTCTGATATGAAAGCATTTATCAAAAAGCTGGAGTTTTGGGAACAAAACCTAATTAACAGCGATGCCAAGCATTTTCCCATTCTTTCAGAAAAAATATCTCAAAATCCATTAGATTCCTATGACAGCAAATATCATGTAGAAATAGTTTCTACCCTGAAGAATAACTTCAAAAATCGTTTTAAGGATTTCAACGAAATGGCTTTAGTAGCGCAGTTTGTTGTTTCACCCTTTATGGAAATTGATATCCAACAGTTTGCAACTTGTGTTATGCAGAACTTTGGCGAAGACATCGCTGCAACAGAAATGGAAGTAATTGAGTTTCAAAATGATTTAGCCTTAAAATCGTTAGTCTTAAGTACAAAATGTATCTGGCCTATTGTAAGTAAAGACAAATATTCAGTTCTATGCCGTGTTGCCTTGAAAGTGAAAGCATTATTCAGTTCAACCTATTTGTGTGAATCTTCTTTTTCCAATAAGTTTATTAAGAACAAATATCGCAATCGACTTACAGATGAACATTTGGATAATTATTTGAATGGCTGTATCAAATTATACTGCAACCATTAAAAAAATTATCGATGAGTCTGAGTGTCAGCCTTCTCATTGAACGTGCTTTTTTATTTTTCAATGTTTATGTTCATGATAGTGCGTTACTTTTTATTTGTTGTCATTATTAACTATTTTTAAATCTTACGTGACATGCCGTTGTAGCTGGATAAAAGTTTGTGTTTATTTTTCAAACACCTTCGTTTGGTAGGTAGGAATGTAGCTATGAACAAGTACGTATTACTAATATTAGTTATTTTGTTGTTAGTTTATTATTAGTACCTATGTATTATGTATTACCAGTTAAATAGTAAAATAAATACATATAATGATAAATTAGCTATGGATTATTTCATTTACGTTGCGTTACGTGGCTTCCGTGTGGGTAGCTCGCTGTTTATTCCAAAATTAACAAAGTAACTCAACACATTGAGAGGTTGGCGACCACTGACATAGAAATTGAGAACAGTGAACTTTGGTGAACCAATATTTTGTCCGCCAATTTATTGTAAACCAATTATTTTCACCACAGTTGCTGTTAAAGAGTCAAGAGATACAGATTCATGAATCAGTTGCGTCAGATGTCATAATTATTTGCTTTTTTCTTTTTTTTATATTTTTGTTAACAAATTTTATTATTCTATGATTTTAATATAAGTAAAACGTGCTTAGTCTGGAATTGTGGTAGTAGAGACAGT